TAAACATTTGAGATCAATATCTATATTATAAAAGTTTTAAACATAAAACTTAAATATTTTTTATATCTCTAAGTTGGCTGTTCTTCAGCATAAAATGATTTAAAAATATTATAGATCCTATCTCAAGATTTCAAATTTAAATTTAGCAATAGGTCTAAAAAACATACACACTTTCCTAAAACCCCTTTTCTCTTTTCTTTAGGATGACTGTTATTACCAAGGACACATCATTAATGAAAAAGTTTCTGAAGCTAGCATCAGCACATGTAGGGGTCTAAGGTAAGACTTCATGAATGCTTTGTATGTGCCTGTGATGATGGTGTGCGTGTGTGTGTTTTAATAAACCTGAAGAATATCACATATAATTACTTATATCATAGTTGAGTATGAATTCTAAGTGCTCAAAAATTTTGAAATTTGAAGGAAACATGGTTTCTGTTGATAGTAGTTTAAAAACTGCACATCTGAATTGCTCGCAGAGTTGCTTTTGTTGTTTGCTTGCTTGTTTTCAAACTATAGGTTTTGAGTCCCAGTTTTAAAGTTAGAATATTTGGGGAATGGCAGCCCCTCTCCACCTTCTCTCTTCACTCTAAAATCTCTAGCTTGTCCATCCACACCTGTGATGTCCATTGTGTGTGTGTGTGTGTGTGTGTGTGTGTGTGTTAAGGACTCCCAAGTATCTGTCCATAGTAAGATATCTTCTTATACCTATCCTTGATTGCCAAATTTCCTCTTACATATCTCCATAACTCCTTTTTATCTGGATGTCTTAATGAAATCTGAATCTTAATATACTCCTAATCAAGCCAATAATTCTCTCCAAAATCTGATATTTTTCTAGTTTTCTATCTCAGCGAATGGTATAACCAACCAACTACTTGCTCAATCCAGAAACCTAGTTTTCTTGACTTGTTACCTCCCAACTACCCATTTTCAATCTATTATCAAGCCTTATTGATTATATGTTTTAAATATTTCCTGAGATTATCCACTACATTTTCTCTCTACTGCCATATCCTAATTCAAACTACCGTGATCATCATGCAGACCATTGCAATAAACCACCCAACTTATCTCTTTGAGTCTATTCTTGTATTCTAATTCTATGTATATAATTATATGTCATATAATTATACATATTTGTGGATCTAACGTGATAATTTAATCCACATCTATCTTTCTTATTTGATTGTAAACTCTGTGAGAGGAGAGATCATGACTCTTTTTTACTATTGGCCTTTAGTCCAATGCCTAATGAATAATGGGTGCTGTCTGAATATTGGTTGAATGAATCTTAACAAAATGCTTCAGTAGAGAGAAGTGAGGTAAAATTGGTATTATTTATTGATCACATGCTTTACATATTATCTCCTTCAATTTTATAACCATCCTATTATGTTGGTATTATTATTCTCAGTTTATAGTTGGAGAAACTGAGGCTATGTGAGTTTAAGTAATTTCCCATGGAATCACAGCTAATAAATCATCGACCCAGAATTTTAACCTTTTCCTCCAAAATCTCTTTCATTTTCAGTGCACCTTTAGAGCAAACAAGACATAGGGATTGGAAGAACAGTGCAGATTCATGAAATTTCATTCTAGTGCCAGCCCTGACCTACAGTAGCTATATAACATTGCAATTGTTGCTTCTCCCCAAGGAGTCTTATTTCCTCATAGAGAAAATAAGTTTAGGTTTTCTCCAAGGAGATCTTCAGCTATAATGTACTATATTCTACTGCCATGAGCTTGGAATGTTTTGGTACTGGTAACTTTTTAGAATCTCTGTCTGTAGCACTTGCATGCAGGAATATTTTTTAAGAAGCCTGGATTCTCATGTTTTTCAGGGGCTACTTCAGTCAGGGAGATGAAAAGTACTTCATTAAACCTTTAAGCCCCACATATCAGGATGAACAGGAACATGCACTCTTCAAGCACGATCTTGAAGAAAAGAAGAGTGACAGCACCTGTGGGATGGATGACATATCATGGCCACATGGATCTCGGCAGAATATAGCCCCACCTGCCACCAGTCTGGTTGTATGTTTACCTTTATTTTTTATTTGCAACATTCCCACGTATTCTGTCCTGGCTGACTTGGGTTCCAGTCTTAGCAGCTGCAACTGAATGAAACTTTACAGTCATTGTTGAAACTAGTAAGCTATAGAGACATTAAAACATTGTCATACATTGATTTATTTAATAAGCACTTATGGATCAGCTATTATTAAAAATAACGTGCAAGGGCTAAAAAGAAGTATAAAGTTTGCCCTCCGGGAGCAGGCAACTTTACCAATACTACAACATTCAAAAAGGTGTACAATATTATTATCACTTTGAGATATAATATCTTGCTGTCTTCGTGAATGAACTCATTCAGCAAATCTTCAAGCACTACCGTAGGTGCTGGGGATGTAGCAGTAAGAGAAATTAATATAGGCTCTGTCCACAGGAACTTCGAATACTCTTTCATATGTGAAATTCAGTTTCCAGTCACAGAAGAATCATCTTTTCTAAATGTCCTCAGAATCTATAAGCACTGGGCAGAATTGGTCTGGATAAAATAAAATCTCTGTTGGGTTCTATTTGCTGTGAGCATTAATTCTACCAGCCATATAACATCTAAGAACCCAGAATCACCACTTATAGCTATTTAATTCCATAAATGTCAATCTCCTGTTTTAGCTGGTACAGACCTCTTGCTTCTGTCTAAATTTCTTGCAAACCACGTGCAAATAGCTGTGTTTCCATGACATCCTATTGTTTTGTTTTTCCCCCTACCTCACTGGTGCTACTCCTTCTTAGCACCTCTCACTATTATCCCTCCTCTAATTGGCTACTAAATATTAGAGACCCTCACAAAGCTCCATCCTGGGTCCCATTCTTTGCTTTATCTACATATTCTTCCCAGGTAATCTCATCCTATGCTATATGCTCTGTTTAAATAAGAACTCTGCACTAATTACCATCAAATGTATATCTCCAATTTTGAAATCTCCTCTAAAGGCCAGACTGTTATAATTAACTACTCTACTTCATGCGTCATTTGAATGTCTAATATCACAAACTTAATGTGGTCAAAATAGAACTACCGATTTCTAAGCCCTAAACAAAACGTGCTTCTCCCTCATTCTCCTCTAACTCAATTGATGGTACCACCATTCATTATTTCTCAGGCCCAAATATAGAAATTATCCTTGGTTCCTCTTTTCTTTATTTCTCTTTATCTGGTATTTGTCAGCAAATGCCTTCATGTAGTTCTGATATTTCATTTTGTTCCCGCTTTCCAACTACCACAGTAATCGCAGCAGCAGCCTCTACCTGACTTTCTCACTCTCATTCCTGCCTCAGTAGAATCCACTCTCCACACAATAGCTGAAGTGATTCTTTTATTCTAAGTCATATCATGTCGCTTTTCTGTTTAAAATCCTCAAATAGTTTCTCATTACATTTAGTACAAAATCTAAAAGAACAGTCCATGAGTTGCAAACCCTGTATGATTAGGGTCCCACCTACCTCTCTAATCAGTTCCCATCAATGACCTCCCCATTACGTTCTGACAAATCCGAACTTTCTCTGTGCTTTAAACATGCCAATATCGATTCACCTTAGAGTCCTTTCACTTTTTTTTTTCTTTTATTTTTTCTTCTGCTGCAATTGTCTTCCAAGTTATCTTCCCTTGCCTGGCTTCTCCTTTTCATTAATATGTCAGCTTCAGGGCCAATTCTTTAAAGCTTTTTCTAAGCATCTATTCTAAAATGACTACCTCGTCACTCAATATCACATCATTCCATTTGATACTCTACATAGCACTAATTCCTATCTGATATATCTATGTTTATTTGTCTGCTGTGAGCATTTTAAGCATATGGAACTTTTCACTACTGTATCCTTAGTGTCCAGAACACAGTTGGTGCATAGTAAGGGCTAATAAGTATGTTGCTCTCACAGAAAGTGGAAGGTAAGTACATACCTCATTAGATAATACTTAAAGTCTACCTTCAGTAATCTGTTCTTGTTAATAGAACCTTATTTACCTGTTAAAAGACAAGCACTTCTAGAAATGCAACCTAATAAACTTTAATAGTTTATTATTTAGTACAAATAGTATGTCTGCTATTTTTGGATAGGACAATCTACTATGAAACATGTTCTTTTGTTGTTGTTATTTTGTTTTGTTTTGTTTTGTGGAGAGAAAAAAACAGAAAATAGGAAAGCTTGGAATGTGAGAAAGAGATCTAGTTCTGTCTGAGAAGAAAAGAATAGATTAGGTTTCATGATGGCTCCGGGCATTGCACCATTGGTAAAGGAGTAATAGGTATTCACTGAGCTAGGAATAAAAAGCTATATACTAAACAAACAAAACATTAGAAAGATACCGAAGTCAAAGTTGGTCAATTTCATTTCAGAATAGTGGAAAAAGTCCACTGTTCAAAAAATCTGAAGATTTGGGTTTTAATTCCAGCATGCCTTCTAATTAGTTGTGTAATCATTTAAACTCTTTGGTGAAATAAAGGGGTCAGAGTAGAATATCACTGATGTCTCTTCTAGCTCTGATATTCTGAAACTTGTCTGTAGATAATTCTGGCTAATTAGGGTTAAAATGTAATATTGTCTTTCTTTATTCCCAGATATCAACCAATCTCATAAAATAACACATTTCAAATAAAAGAATGACTTTGTAGAGAGAGATGTTGTCTTAGTAATTTCTCTTTTAATATTTATTACAGAAATCGAAAGATCGGAAGGTTTGGGAACATAAGAAATATATAGAATATTATTTGGTCCTGGATAATGGTGAGGTAATTATATCAGATAAATATGTCTTTTAAAATCCCCTTCTACCTAAATTTATTATGTGAGATATTAAATATGTGGATTAGTTTAGAAAAATCATGAACATGAGCTATTCTTTTTTACAAATTGTTCTGAATCTAGGAAATTTAACATATAATTAGACTGATATGACTTCTCTTTCTCAGGGATATGCAGCTGATACGATATGCATAAACTGAATTCTTTGCACTATTACGCTCCTTTCTTGTTGTCTTAAGAGTACCAACTTAGTTTTTCCATAAATTCCTTTGTCATTTTGTCTTCTGTTAAGTAGTTAAATCATTGGTAAATTAGAATTTATGCTCATCAGAGAGTGGTAAATATAAAAGGCTAATGAATGGAAACTTTTGAAAAAGGCAATTTTTTGCTAATATTCATTGTTTATCTTCTTTTATGAGAATGCATTTTCACCTGTTGAATATTCTAAACATGAGGTCTACATCGTAATTTCCAAAGAAAAAATTCTGTGCTATGATAATATGAGCAAGTTAATTAGTTGAGGCCCTAAAGCATTGGCCTCTCATTATATTGTTTATTTGCGGCTTATGTATTTTTAAATAAAAAAGCTATTTCTTGCACCAATTCTACATGGCTTAGGAAATCATGATGTTTTACTGAAAATACATTTGGAATAAATTTTTAGAGCATTACACTGAGTTAGTACTTCAGGAGACAAACATCATTTCTACTTCTAAAGCATTTTAATTCAGCTAGAGAAATAGGAAGCACTTTGTTTCTAACTTCTAAGTGTTAACTTTTATAACCGATAATGAATTATAACCACTGATAGGTAAAATAAACTGAAGTTGCCTTTTGTTTAAATTTTTAAAAAAATTTTTAGGTGAGGCAACGCTTGATGGACTTCACAGATTGCAAGGACCTTGTCGGCTTACAATCCCTTATTTTTTATTTTTTATACCTACAGCACCTTCCTAAGTGGTCTCCCATTAAAGTTCTAACCAGGCCAGACCCTGAAGTTGCTTTTTCTGCCTTCCTATTATGTTCATTTTTATCAGTGTTCATATTTTGTCTTGTTTGTTTTTTAGTTTAAAAAATACAATCAAGATACAGAGGAAATAAGAAAGAGAATGTTTGAGATGGCCAATTATGTCAACATGGTATGATATATTTTATTAAATGTAATTTTAACAGTTTGCTAGTTGTCATTGGTGTTTCTATGAATGCTCATGAAGCAGCGAAGGAAAGTCATTAATTGCTCTTAAGACTAAAACTGTTGACTGACTCTCAAAGGGTAACCACGACTTTTACTACTTAAATATTAATGATACATAAGAGAGACTTTTTTACCACACTATTCATAGGTCTATGAAAGTATAAAAGGTGGTTTTGTTTGTGTGGTTTTATTTGTGCAGTTTTGGTTTTTCTAAAGCCCAGTAAGAAAATACTGACAAATTTATCTCAATAGAAAGCCAATCCAAGGAGGAAAACATAAAAATAAACAAAATAAACTAAGCTCTGGCACAGTGACATTTTTTATATATTATTTCATTTAACACTCAAAAAAAAAATCCCTTTAATATATTATTAACCCTAATTTACAGTTAAGAAACTAGATTCTAAGAAGCAAAGTAACTTACCTAAAATCACTAAGTTAGAGAACGCTAGAGATAAGATTTGAACTTAGATTTCAAGCCCATTTTGATTGTATAATTGTTGATTCTGTTTTTTATCATCTAATTTCCAAACTCTCTTAAAATATCACTTCTGTATCTCGTCTATTTAAATCTTAACCATTAGTTTCTTGTTAGTTGAACATATGATTAGCCTGCTTAGTTGAAAGGAGTGTCACTTTGTGGTGTCCTGCAAATCCTCTAAGGATAGAAAGAAAATGAAGGCGAATTCAATGACCAAAGTCCTATCTCGTCTTCTCCACAAAGATCACTCTGATTTCCTTTAAGGAAACCCAAGAACTGGACATATTTATTGAGCACCTACTTTGCGCCAGGTACAAATAAAACAATCAAGTAGGGAATTAAACTGACAAATAGTCTTTCCTTCAAGGAGTTTACATTCTTATTCAAAAAGACAAACATAAATCAAATAAAGAGTACATAGAACGGTGATAAGTGCTATAAAGAAAAATAAAGCAGGGAGAGAGAGAGATTTATTTTGGGTACTATGTTAAACAGAAAAGGCCTCTTTAATAAGGTGATATTTGAGTGGAGGTCTGAAGGGAGAGAAGTGTCTGTCCCTAAAGGAGGGTGTTCAAAGCAGAGCAAAGGACCCGAGGGAAGAATCCAGCATGTCCTGTTTGAGGACCAGCGAGAAGGCCATTGGGTCAGGAATGTAGTAAGCCAGGGCAAGGGTGGGATTAGGTGACATTTGGCAGGTAGCAGTGGACAAAACCTGAAGTCTCTGGTGGGACTGTGTAAGAATTTTGTTATTCTTCATGAGTAAGGAGGACACTGGAGAACAGATGTGTGTTCTTAAAAGATTATCTTGACCATTACATTGAAAATAAACAGGGAGAGCAAGGGCAGAAACAAGATCAGATGAGGAAATTGTGCCACAATTCAGGCAAGAGATGATGACGGTTTGAGAAAAAGTAGTGATAATGAATCTGTTGATAATAGCCGACTTCTGGATAGAGTCAATGGGGTTTATGAAATGGATGGGAGATGGAAGTTATAAGAAAAAGGGAGGAGTCAAGTGACATCAAGTATTTTGATCTGAACAGCTTCAGGAATAAGGAAATATAATAGGGGATGGTGACCCAGAGGAAAGATTATGATTTCTGTTTTGGACACATTAACTTTGAGATATTTTTTTGTGTAAAGATTTCCAGGTGGAAATGCTGAATAACAAGATTGCAGTTCAGTGACAAGGTCCGGGTAAAGATATAAATCTATGTCTTATTACATATAGATGACATAAGACATGAGTCAGCAAACTATAGCTTGTGGGCCAAATCCGGCCTCATGCTTTTTTACAAAATAAAGTTTTATCGGAACACAGCCGCCTTCATTTGTTTACACACTGTCCGTGGCTACTTTCCTGCTACATTGCCAGAGGTGGTGAGCAGTTGCCATCGAGACCACACGGCCTCAAAGCTTAAAATATTTTCCATGCAGACTTTTACAGAAAAAGTTTGCCAACCCTGGTGTAAAATACCAGGTATGGATAGGTAAAAAAGAGACCTGAAGAGAGATCTTTAAAGTACTTCTTTGAGAAGAGATTAGAATGGAGGAAAAACTGACAAAGAGACCAAGAAGGAGTGTCAGTGAGGCAGGAGGAAAACCAATAGTGGGGAGTTATTTTTAACTAGGACTAGAGTTCTGTCAGGCGAGTAGCATAAAGCAAGAAATGAGTAAGAAAGTTGAGGGAATAATAAAAGGGAGGATTTTAATCTGGTTATAGTTTTATGTCTCTTTCGGTGATCATTGCATTCCTCAATGCTTTTATTATTTTCCAAACTACTTTTAAAAAATGTCTTCAGGTTTCTCAGCAGAAAGTTGCCCCATGAGAAAGTCTGTCACTGTGCAGTTTTTTTTCAAGCTGTATTAAGATTTAATTGGTATACAACAAACATTGTACAAATTCAAGGTGTTCAATGTTTTGTTTTGATACACTTATATATTGCAAAATGATTACCACCATCAGCTAGGTAACTCCTCCATTACATCACATTATTACCAGATTTTTTTTTTTTTTTTGTGGTGAGAACACGTAAGATCTAGTCTTTTAGCAATTTTCCAGTATATTATATAATACAGTGTTATGAACTATAATCACCATGCTATACATTTGATCACCAGAATTTATTTATCTTATAACTGGAAGTTTGCACCCTTGACCAACACTGTACAATTTTATAAACTATGGTAGCTATTTAAGCTTTTGTCTTTTGAGTAAGCATATTGTCCCATGAGTTGAACTTGTTATTTCTAAAAGTTACCCTATGTGCATTATGGATTGTTTGATTCATTCCAGGTTTAAGAATTAGAAGACCACTTACTCTATTGTCACTTACAGATGCAAGACTTTTTCAGACAGCACATTTCTTTTCTAATATCCAAACTAGCAGTGGGTCAACCTTGCTAATTCTGAAATCTTATGACTCTGAGAACATCACAAAGCTTTTGAGTAAATATACTTAAAATGAAATAATAGTAAGGAGCTACTAACAGAAAATTATTTTTCTTGAGACGCGAGCGGGAAAAATTTGTTTCAATGGGACTTTCGCTCCAAAAAAAAAAAAAAAAGATATCTACAGACCTGAACTACTTAAGGGTGTCTGCTTTGCCTGAGAATGGGGAGGCTAGTGTCTGCAAAAAGAGATGGTGACTTATATTTTACAACTATGTTTTTAAAGAAGTTTTTTACAGTGGTGTTATAAATAAGTTTGAAAATCTAAAGTCCATTGAAAATATTAATGATAATGTCATCACTAGGAGTCATTGCTTTACCATTTATTCTCTTCGGACAGCTTTATAAAAAGCTCAATACTCATGTGGCCTTAGTTGGGATGGAAATCTGGAATGACAAAGATAAGATAAAGATAACACCAAATGCAAGCTTTACCTTGGAAAACTTTTCTCAATGGAGGGGGAGTGTCCTCCCAAGGCGAAAGCGTCATGATATCGCTCAGTTAATCACGTATGTATAGATTTCCCCCCTTTTACATTACATGATAGTTAGCATAGAAAATTTTCAAAGCCTGAGAAAAACAAGTGATATCTCTGGGTATAGGGTAAGAAGTGGTTTACCTATAGAAGGTTAAAAGTTTAAAAAATACTCATTTGGATCTTATATTGAATATGCTCTTGGTTTTGTGCTAGGTATTTTCTTTTTCTTTTCTTTAAAAGAGAAGCTAATAGTTTAACAATGAATCATAGAAGTTTGTCTGTTTTGATTGGGTGTACAGAAAAGAAAGACAGGTTTAGAGAATGACAAGAGAGATTTAGATTTGATGTTTGAAAAGAACAGATTAGCTTTAAGCATGACTCAGGACAAACTTTTAGGATACAAGAAAAATTGAATATTGTATTCTAATTGCACACCTCTACCATCCTG